AATTAACTGCTTTTTTAACTGTTTCAGTTTATCCTTTCTGGCGGCAGAATGTAGTGTGAATGATTTTTCAAAATTAGAATGTACAGTTTTATAATGTCTCTCAATATTTCCTTTTTTAGCACCGAAGTATTACATAACAAACACATTTTTATCTTTAACTTCTGTAAAAAAGTATTGTTCTTCCCATTCCGAATGAAAGTGGTATGTCTTTACCTTTTTACAACTGCTTGCCATAATATTATTTTTTGTTGTTCTCTACTAACCCAGCCGCTGGACGTTGGTTACGCGTTCAGTTTGAAACTAAGCGCAATGTCGCCGCGCCGTGCGTATTTATCCCGTTCAAAGCAATCCTGATCGTTCTCGAACACTAACGCGCTGGTCCGGCTGGTCGGTTCTAGCCGATTCTAGCTTGATGGCGTCAGCGGCGATCGCTCACCGCAACGTTGGCGCTGTTTATGTTTATTATTATGACAATTAGATTTTTTTGTGGAATTTTCGGAAGCTTCTCTGATTTTTGCAGTTTGTATTTTTTAAATTAAAATCGTTGTGAGAGCTACCAGAATTGCCTCCGCGAGCTACCGGTAGCTCGCGATCGACAGGTTGGCTACCACTGTTCTATGGGATTCATGTCTGGGCTGCGGGCTGGCCAGTCAAACTGCCTAATTTCTACCTCATCCAGATACTCCTTGACAATTTTGGCTGTATGTGATCTCGCAATATCTTGCACAAAAATGCCACGTTTACCCATAGTCACCATCAAAGGCATAACATGGTCTTCTAGCACCTCCGTAATGTACCTGTGAGAGGTTAGGGAGCCATTTTCTATAAAGACCAACTCTGTACGAGCTTGTGCAGTGATTTTTGCCCAAACCATAACTGAATCACTGCCAAATAGAAGACGCTCGTCAATGCAAACTTCAGCATATCTTTCCTCAGGTCTTCTCCACATTCTTCTACGTCCGTCTGACCCAGTGATGCAAAAACACGACTCATCTGAGAACAATACGCATCTCCAGTCATCATCATTCCAACGAACGTGATCTTTGGCAGCATGAAGCCTTCTTCTAACGGTCCATTCACTAACGTTGACATTTCTCGCTTCTTCCAACTGATTTCACAGTGAAACCGCAGTAGCTCTCCTATTCAGCAAACTTGTGGACACAAAAAACAGCCATCTCGTTAAGTGATAACTCTTTTTCGCCCAGATCCTGGTCTTCTAGTGATCAGGCCAGTCTCCAGAAAGCGCTGGTACACCCTTTGCACACCACAAAGACTAGCACCAACAATTCTTGTAGTTTCACGTTGCATCCGATCATCTTGTAATAGCGCAACAATTCTTGCCATAACAATCGGATCTAAAGGCAATATGGGCCTGTTAAATCAGTACACTTTGAAATCGTTAGGTTTTACACAAAGAATCAACAGTTAACTGGAAGACAGGTAAGGACAATTTGAATGTTCAATTAGCGTAGAGGTACATTTTTCATAAAAGTCATACAAACAGGGGGCCTTTGAATTCTAATAAATCGAATGACAGCTGTCAAGTCTCGGACAACAATTGCTTCAACGCCTACTAATACTATTATGTCCTTATCAATATTGACGCTAAAATTATTCGCCATTTCTGAAGTGACCTCAATTTTTTGTGTATAACATAGCAAATGAATGAAGTCAATTAAAATTATTTGATGACCTGAAAACAATCAAATGTATAGGTTTGGTCAACACTTCGTTTATGGACATACAACTTTTATATTTTTTTTTCTTATTTTCAATAAAACAGCTATCGATCAATTACGCACTGATGGGACACTCTGTATATGTGTTATTCTCTAACATGTTAGTATTGTTGGATAGGAAAATTTATAAGGAATTGTATGCAAAAAATATTATACCGGGTGTTGCCTTTGAAAAAATTAAGTAAATTGAACTTAAAAGTAGCCGTATATAAGACATGTTTCAAAACACTCGGTATAAAAGAATCCAGCACTATCACCACTATTCGTTATCTTAATGTGCTGTAAGTCTGTATATTAAACAATCTTGAAATCAATGTAATCCTACCCAAATTATGATAATTTAATTTGAGGTCTGCATCATTCTCTAATTTCAAAAAAATTTAATTGCATGGCAAACTTGTAATTTATTTTTCAAAATATTCTAGGCTTGAATACAGTATTACCAAACCATTCTAAAACTGAAATAAAAAACATGTTCTATTTAAAAAATATGCCAGGCAAAAATGTAACACCCTGTATATCCAAAAATATTTTTAAAATAGGTATTTTCCAAATCCATATAACTTTTTTTTGAAACATGTTTGCGTGTCTTTAACACAAATTAAAATATTGAAACATTACGCACTAATGAGACATGCACAAGGGTATATATAGTTTAACTACCGTAGGGACGCCACTGATGAAAATAAAAAAGTTAATAGCATCAGAAAATGTCATTTTATAGTAAAACAACGTGTACCAAATTTCATTAAATTATCTTCAGTGGTATTAAAGATATGATAAAAAAACGATTTTTTTCCTAAAACTTTAACACCTTGTATCTTGAAAACCGTCCATTTCCGGACATATGTTTATATGAACTTTTTACTCTAAAATTACTCAAAAAATCATTTCCTGAAGTTTGCCCTGTATATACACATAGCAGTCAACGTGTTAAGAAATTAAGTTCCTTATAAAGAAAAATAACATTCAGAATAAGAAAGCAAGTCTCGCAAATATTACGTGCATATCATACAGTGATGCCAGGTTATTCGGATTCAAATTACATCGGAATGGAATAAAGTCCCTTTCCTTCCATTTCACCCACTTTAAAATTAAATTCGTCCGAGAAAGAATTGTGAAATTATCGTATAAATCGATAATTATTGTACATCTGGCAACGTGGCCAATACTTGTTCATACGCAAGGAAGATAAATTGATAATTTTGTATCTGGAACGAAGCGAGACAAATATACAGGGTGTTTATTAAGTACTTGTACAAACTTTAAATAGTGAATCTTTGACTAATTTTAAGACAAAAAGTTCATATGAACACGTGTCCTAAACCTCTTAACTTTTGTGCTACAGGGTGGTAAAGTTTTCAGAAAAAAATCTATTTTTTCCAATAACTGTGAGACTATTGTAGATATCTTTACGAAATTTGGTACACGTATACTATGCACTAAGATGCATTTTTTGATGTACAAATTTATGTTTTCTACCAGTGGCGTCCATACCTACGGGGTTTGTATTGAATATTTTTGCAGGAAAAAATAGTATGCCACTGCTTCATCTTAAAACAAAAATTTGGGTCGGAATTATCGGGCATCACCTTATTGGACCTTGCATTCTTCCACAAAGGCTAAATGGCGAAGAGTACAGAAGATTTTTGGAGCACGAGCTTCCTGAACATTTAGAAGAAATTGATTTGGCTACCAGAAACAGGATGTGGTTCATGCACGATGGCGCACCGGCACACTTTTGTTTGGCTGCACGTCAATTTCTGAACGAGAATTATCCTAATCGTTGGATAGGAAGAGCGGGACCGCAAGCCTGGCCTCCCAGATCACTAGATTTAAATACTCTGGATTTTTTTCTGTGGGGTCACTTAAAGTCACTAGTTTACAAAACATCCGTTCAAAATGAGCAATATCTAAGAAACAGGATATTTGAATCGTGTGCCATTATTAATCAGACACCAGGTATATTCGAAAGAGTTCGTCAATCAATGTTAAGGCGAATTGACGCATGCGTTGCAGTAGGCGGCGGGCATTTTCAGCAATTGTTGTAAATATTATTAACTTATTTGTAAAAGTAGTTTAGTCTTAGTCTGTAAATAATCTAAGTTAATCACATAACAATATTGATCAATAAAAGACACATTTTTCACTTGTTCCATGCAGAATACTATGCGTCGGACGGAAACTATGCGTCGGATAAAAAACTCATCAGACCAAATTTGCTCAAAACTAAATGAGGATTGCAAAAATATTTGTTATTTTAAGATGAAGCAGTGGCGTACTATTTTTTTCGGCAAAAATATTTAATACGAAAACCGTACGGGCGCCACTGGTAGAAATAATAAAATTATTGTACATTAAAAAATGCACCATAATGCGTTGGAGACATGTACCAAATTTCGTAAAAATATCTGCAATATTCTTACAGTTATTAGAAAACAAAATTTTTTTTTTCTGAAAACTTTACCACCCTGTAGCTCAAAAGTTAAGAGGTTTAGGACATGTGTTCATATGAACGTTTTATTTTAAAATAAGTCAATGATTCACCATTTAAAGTTTGTACAAGTACTTAATAAACACTCTGTATATGAAAATCACGAAACAATAAAAGACGGCATACAGCTGTATCACTGTTTCAGAAATTGGTACCTCTAAATAATCATTCATCTATTAAAACCATCTCTAAAACAGAGTGGTTACATTGTTTTTATAGGACATCTTTTTAAAAATAGATGAACTACACAATTACAGGTATTCATAGAATATCTCTAATTTGACAAATAAATTTATCAAATATTTGTTAATCGTATTTCCAGTTAGATTTGAAAAATACCCAATAATATTTAGAAATATTTTGGAAAAATATGTAGAATGAAATCTCCTACTTTTTAGCTCTGGTTTTAAAATCACTTTCTATGATTTTTTTTTTAAATTCAGTATATAAACAGGACAAATAAAAAATAGGAGATTTCATTCTCCAAACCTTTATACTTTAAGCTGGTAGAAGATTCATTTTAATACATTTAGCGGGATTTAAATGCAATCGGAAATGGTGGTTTAGGAGGAACTACATTCAGTAGTGTCCGTTTAGCAACTATTTTAATAATTCGTGCTATTTCATTTTCTCACGCTAGCGCGAGAGCAGCATCTCCTTCAAGAAAGCACACACACACACACACACACACACACACACACACACACACATTTCCATCAAAAAGATATCATCCGTTTCAATTAATGCCTAAAAAAGCCAACCCAACGTCAATTCTGGATTCCAGTCACAGGCGGCCAGTCGCGGTTCAATTGTTTCACGGCATCGGCTCTCCCCGCTGTCACCCCTTTGCGCCCATCGGCCGTCTCGTGGTGCATTCCCCCCGTGCGTTCGCGAACGCCGAATAGTTGGCCTTGAACGAGTGCATTGCTTTCAGAAGAGACTCCTTTTTGTTTTTTGGATGGCCGCCGTTTGGCAACGGTCAACAGCCCGGCCAAGGTTGCGCTCGCACTTCGGTTCTTAGTAGTTGAGAACGGTGGAAGTGGAACTAACCTATCATAAGTCAAACCTGCGTGAGACAGAAGGCAGGCACCGCCGAAAATGCAGGGACGGATCATTTGCCGAAAATTTCTAATTAAAAAAATGTACTAATAACATTTTCGCGTTCTAGAGTATAGAAAGTTTCATCTCTCTACATTAATGTTCATTATTGAGTTAAAAAATATACCAAATTTACTATTTTTGTAATAAAAAATAGGGTCACTTCGCCGCTTTTGGCCCAGTTAAAGTCAATGTTTATTAGAATAAGCAATTGAAATTAATTTATTTATTGTTTCGGCCTTTACTTGATGAAAATCCATTTAATTTTGAAAGAGTAAAACCAAATTTGGTAGATTTTCACACTTTTATTTTAAAAATAAATTTTTTTTTTTTAAAAAAACACTTACATGACATATGTTTCGAAATACAACTTCTTTTTCAAATGTGACTATTTACAATTCGGTATCCAATATATATACGAAATAATTTAACAAAACAAAGTACTTAAGAAAACATCAATAACATTACAAAATAAACTAACTATTTAAAGTAAATAAGGGTACTTAGGTAATTATAATATCCATCAGATAACAATAAGATAGCCCATTACCGGAATTATCTCACAGAAAACTGGGAAAGAGATTTAATAAGGGTGAATTATTAATATCTAATTGATCATTTAGTAAGTTATCTGAATTTTTAAATCTATTTATTTCAAGTGTTTCTAAATGGTTTAATTTAAGGCTCTTATTTTCTACATGTAAAATTTCAAAGTTGTCTGTAAAAGAATGATTTTCAGCTAAAATATGATTTGAGTAAGTAGAATTATTTTTGTTTTTTGTATAGCTATTATAATGTTCGGAATAGCGTTTTTTGAAAGTACGGCCTGTTTGACCAATATACAATTTTGGACAACTACCACAATTTAATTTATATACCCCCGATTTATTATTAGGATTAATTTTACCCTTATTGTTTTTAATATACTTCCCAAGCGTATTATTGGTTTTAAAAGCTACGTTAATATGTTGGTTTTTTAAATATGATGATACCTTTTCACTAGGAGCTCCTATATATGTAAGACTCTTATATCTGCAATTTGGATCTTTAATTATGGGATAAACTTGTTGAATAGCCTGTTTAAAAAGTTTTTTTTTTTAAATGTTGTCTACTAACTTTGAATTAAAATTATTATTTACTGCGATTTGTTTAATGATATTTAATTATTTTGTGAAGTTCTCTTTGGTAAGGGGAATATTAACTAATCTATGGATCATACTGTTGTATGCTGCCAGCTTTTGTTTGTATGGATGAGATGAACTATTATTTATTGTAATATCCGTATGTGATGGCTTATGAAATATCCCAAAACTATGGCCTTTATTATTTTTAATAATATTTAAGTATAAAAAATTAATTGAATTATCCTTCTCTGTTTCCATAGTAAATTTAATATTAGGGTGTATAGTATTGATAAAAACTAATAAAGAATTTAACTGTCTACTAGTACCAGTAAAAGCAGTCAATATATCATCAACATATCTATGCCAATACAGACAATGTTTACTTAAATTATTGCTATGAATTTTATTTTCTATATTATCCATAAATATTTCTGCAAGCAACGGGCTTAATGGGTTCCCCATAATAAGACTTTCATTTGCTGAGTAGATGTTATTTTGAAATTGAAAATAATTTTGTTTTAGGCAAATGTTTAACAAATTTAGGATTTCTTCTTTGATTATAATATTGACTTGATTACGATCTAATAAGTTTTCTACTAGCTTAACTGTTTCTTTAGGAGGTATACTAGGAAATAAGTTTGTTACATCGAACGATACTAATTTTGTGTTACTAGGTAATTTAATGTTTTTTAATTTTTCTGTTAATTCATAAGAATTTTTTATACTATACTTTGAATTGAATTTAATTTGCAGTTTTCTTGTATAAGTTTAATTAATGTGTGTGAAAGTTTAACTGATGGAGCCGTGACAAATGACACAACTGGTCTAATAGGATAGTTCACTTTCTCATAAGCCATCACATACGGATATTACAATAAATAATAGTTCATCTCATCCATACAAATAAAAGCTGGCAGCATACAACAGTATGATCCATAGATTAGTTAATATTCCCCTTACCAAAGAGAACTTCACAAAAGAATTAAATATCATTAAACAAATCGCAGTAAATAATAATTTTAATTCAAAGTTAGTAGACAACATTTTAGAGAAAAAACTTTTTAAACAGGCTATTCAACAAGTTTATCCCATAATTAAAGATCCAAATTGCAGATATAAGAGTCTTACATATATAGGAGCTCCTAGTGAAAAGGTATCATCATATTTAAAAAACCAAAATATTAACGTAGCTTTTAAAACCAATAATACGCTTGGGAAGTATATTAAAAACAATAAGGGTAAAATTAATCCTAATAATAAATCGGGGGGTATATAAATTAAATTGTGGTAGTTGTCCAAAATTGTATATTGGTCAAACAGGCCGTACTTTCAAAAAACGCTATTGCGAACATTATAATAGCTATACAAAAAACAAAAATAATTCTACTTACTCAAATCATATTTTAGCTGAAAATCATTCTTTTACAGACAACTTTGAAATTTTACATGTAGAAAATAAGAGCCTTAAATTAAACCATTTAGAAACACTTGAAATAAATAGATTTAAAAATTCAGATAACTTACTAAATGATCAATTAGATATTAATAATTCACCCTTATTAAATCTCTTTCCCAGTTTTCTGTGAGATAATCCCGGTAATGGGCTATCTTATTGTTATTTGATGGATATTATAATTACCTAAGTACCCTTATTTACTTTAAATAGTTAGTTTATTTTGTAATGTTATTGATGTTTTCTTAAGTACTTTGTTTTGTTAAATTATTTCATTATTTCGCATATATATTGGATACCGAATTGTAAATAGTCACATTTGAAAAAGAAGTTGTACTCCGAAACATATGTCATGTTAGTGTTTAAAAAAAAAAAAATATTTTTAAAATAAAAGTGTGAAAATCTACCAAATTTGGTTTTACTCTTTCAAAATTGAAATTAAATTAGTCTTTCTATTAAGCTAGGTATTCCTGTTTGCTAATATTGATGTTGTTACCGGTTTATTGCATATAAATAATCAATTTCTTAAATCAGTGATTTCCAGCAAATGACGAGATTTTTAAATTAAGCAATCAGAATATGATAAATAATTCCAATCAATTTTCTCAGCAGGTTACTTAAAACTGAATTAATATACCTTAATCCCCAAACTTTATTTAATAATGATAAAATCAATTAAAAACATTCTAAGTAATGAATTGGTTATATTTACATAAATAGTTCTATTATACAGTGCGTCCATAAAGTAACGCATAAATTCATTATTGGCTAAATGAACAATAAAATTAGGAATTCCCAAAACAGGTCGATTTTTGATTTCAATTTACTATTGTTTTTCAAATCATAATCTAATATACAGGGTGAACCACTTTCGTGTAATGACGTCATCACCATTTTTTTCAAATGGAACCCCCCCTTTTTTTTTCAATTTCCAAATTGCCTTTGCTGAGCTGATTCCAAAAATGTATAATATGTTGCTTCAAATTGGCACAGGGTGGGCAAAAATGCAAAAAAAAATATGAAAATTGTTTATGGAAAGTAATACGTTACTGAATGTAATAAACAAATTAAATGGAATTATGTAGTTATGCAATTAATGTGATACACTTCCAAAAACAAACAAACGAACGAAAATTTACAATAAATGTTCAAATTGTTCTCCATTGACCGTTAGACAATGACTGAACCGGGCATTACTTTCGTCTCTAACATTCTGTAGCATAGCGGGTGTTATGCTCTGTATTTCTTGTCTGATTCGGTCTTGTAGTTGAGGGATATTTCCAGGTCTGTTGAAGTAGACTTTAGATTTTAAATAACCCCATAAAAAGAAGTCTAATGGGTTCAGATCAGGTGATCTAGCAGGCCATTCCACTGGTCCCCTTCTTCCTATCCACCTTTGTGGAAAAGTTGTGTTTAAAAAATTGCGCACAGCTACTGCGTAATGTGGCGGTGCGCCATCCTGTTGAAACCAGATTCTGCGGTCTACATTAGTGGGTATTTGAATATCAGGAAAAAGCTGGATCAGATCAGGAATTAATGTATTTTGTAGGAAATCCAGATATAATGCTCCTGTTAAGTTTTCATCGAAAAAATATGGACCAATAATTGTATTTCTCACAATACCAGCCCATACGTTAGTTTTTTGTGGTCTTTGCGTATGGTACTCTTGCATCCAGTGTGGATTTTCATCAGACCAATAACGGGTGTTTTGCCGGTTAACATGACCGTTCAAATAAAACGTTGCCTCGTCTGAAAATAAAACGTTATCAATGAAATTGTTATTTTGGTTCATCATATACTCGCAGAATTCAGTTCTTCGGTCAAAGTCGTCTTCAGCCAATTCATGGATGAGACGTACTTTATAAGGATGGTATTTTACCTTTTTGAAAATGTTTGATACTGAAGACTTTCCAATACCAAAATCCCTAGATAATCCTCGCACTGTACAGTGTGGATTTTCTACAGCCGACAAAATTATGTCTTGTTGAATATTTTCATCAATTTTTGGTCTACCTTGCCTTGCTGCATCCCTCACATGTCCTAATTCTCTTTATTTTCGCTCTATTCTACTTACCGTAAATTGTGAAATAGGTTCACGATCTGGGTGCATTTCATGGAATAATCGGCATACCTCTTGTTGAGTCCGCATCTTATCGCCAATACCAATCATCATTAATATTTCAATCCTGTCACTTTCGGTTAAAGGCATTTTGTAAAAAAAGTTCACGAACGTACCTTCTCTACAGCGTTAACAATACGAAACTGTGCTTCAATGTTTTTGACAGTGTTGTCAAATAAAAAAAACTGGTATGTCAAATAAAAAAAACTGGTAAAAGATAATGCCAAACAAAAAGATTTTTATAGTCCAGGGGCTTGGATCACTAATAAAAGCTGTAAGATACAATTATTAAGAATAATGCTGTATGTTCTTGATAGTTTA